TCGCCTGCCTGAGCGACGCCTGGCGTGCAGAGTTTGGCGACGCGGCTGAGCTCCCCAACTGGCTGGAGCTGCTTAGGCAGAGGGTGGATATCTTTGCTCTTCACTATGATGCTATCCTCACTGCCATGTATGCATTGCCTGTTAGTGCTGAGGGTGACTGTTACCTCTGTGTGCCGCACGACCCAGGTATAGAGGCTGCTGCTCTAGGTGCTGGTGAGTCTGCTGCTCTAGGTGCTAGTGAGTCTGCTGCTCTAGGTGCTGGTGAGTCTGCTCTCTCTGGTACTGCGCCTGCTGAGGCCTTGCACACCTTCACGCTTGACTCAGGTGCTTCGCGCTGCTTCTTCCGCGACAGTACCACAGTCACACCGCTCCCTGCTCCTGTTGCTGTCTCTCTGGCTGACCCCTCTGGGGGCCCTGTCCTTGCACGTTCCTCCACTCTTCTCCCATGTCCGGCGGTTCCGTCTGGCTCACTGTCAGGTCTTTACCTCCCCTCGTTCTCTACGAACTTGGTGAGAGACGCCTGTTGATGTATGGGTTGACACCTTTACTCCAGGAGGACAGCGTGTGGCGATTTGTACGTGCTCCCGGACTGGCCGGCACCTGGCCACGTTCACCCGTGCGCCTGGCTCGAGTCTATACACACTGACTACTGTGTCTCCTCAGGTAGCTGCATCTGCGTCTGCGTCAAGTCAGCTAGCGGCCCCCTGCTCGTGTCGCGCTCTGTCGCACCAGACCCTCCTTTGGCACCACCGTCTTGGTCACCCCTCAGTGCAGCGCCTCCGTGGCATGCACTCTCGTCTCCTTGTCTCTGGTCTTCCCGAGTCTCTGCCTCCCCTCCCACCCTCACCTGCCCCTCCCTGTGTCGAGGGGCAGCAGTGCGCCGCTCCTCACTCCTCCTCGTTTCCCCCGACGACTGCTCCCCTGCAGACTCTCCACATGGACGTGTGGGGCCCAGCCCGCGTCCGTGGACAGGGCCGCGAGCGCTAATTTCTGCTGGTCGTTGACGACTACTCGCGTTACACCATGGTCTTCCCCTTGCGCAGCAAGGGGGAGGTCCCTGATGTTCTGATCCCTTGGATCCGCGCTGTCCGTCTCCAGCTCCGCGAGCGGTTCGAGACTGATCTTCCAGTCCTGCGTCTGCACTCTGACAGAGGTGGTGAGTTTTCCTCCGACCTCTTGCGGGACTTTTGTCGTGGGGATGGCATTCTCTAGTCGTTCACGCTTCCGGCCTCTCCGCAGCAGAATGGGGTTGCTAAGCGCCGCATTGGCTTAGTCATGGAGGTCGCTCGTACCTCCATGATCCATGTGGCTGCCCCCCATTTTCTGTGGCCGTTTGCGGTCCGGTACGCTGCGCATCAGCTCAACCTCTGGCCCCGTGTCTCCTTGCCGGAGACCTCGCCCACACTGCGTTGGACGGGGAAGGTTGGCGATGCGTCGGTGTTCCGGGTCTGGGGTTCTCGTGCCTTTGTCCGCGATACGTCCGCGGACAAGCTCTCCGCCCGCGCCATTCCCTGCGTCTTCCTTGGTTTTCCCCCTGACGCGCCTGGCTGGCAGTTTTACCACCCCACCTTGTGCCATGTCCTGCCCTCTCAGGAGGTCACCTTTGACGAGTCGGTTCCCTTTTAGCGTCTCTTCCCCTACCGCACTGCACCTCTCCACCCCCCGCCGCTCTTCCTCGCACCAGGTCCTCCTCCGGTAGACCCCCTCCCCCCTCAGGGTCCTGCTCCCTCAGGTGTGTCTCAGGTAGACCCTGTCGAGCCTGTCGAGGTCGCTGTCGACTCTGGTGCTGCTGGGGGTGCTGAGCCGGAGCGTGCGGAGCCTGGGGGTGCTGAGCCTGAGCGTGCGGAGCCTGGGGGTGCTGAGCCTGAGGTTGCTGAGTCTGAGGGTGCTGAGCCTGGGGGTGCTGAGCCTGGGGGTGCTGAGCCTGCGGTTGCTGAGCCTGGGGGTGCTGAGCCTGGGGGTGCTGAGTCTGCTGGAGGTCCTACAGGTGCCTCGTCACGGCGGGAGCCTCTCTCTCCACCGCAGCTGCGCGAGTGGTTTGCTCGGCGCTGGAGCCTTCGGAGCGGCACTGCTGGAGCTGGAGGTACTGGAGCTGCTGGTGCTGGAGGTGCTGCCGGCGTTGGAGCTGGAGCTTCTGGAGTTACTGGAGCCACTGGTCCCGGAGGTGCTCGTACTGGAGGTACTGGAGCTGCTGGAGCTGATGGTGCTGCGGGCGTTGGAGCCAGAGGTGCTGGAGCTGCTGACCCTGGAGGTGCTGGAGGGGCTAGAGTCGCTGGTCCCGGAGGTGCTCGTACTGGAGGTACTGGAGCTGCTGGAGCTGGTGGTGCTGCAGGAGTTGGAGCCGGAGGTACTGGAGCTGCTGGTCCTGGAGGTGCTCGTACTGGAGTTACTGGAGCTGCTGGAGCTGGAGGTGCTACTGGAGCTGGAGCTGCTGGAGGTGCTGGAGCTGGTGGTACTGCAGGCGTTGGAGCTGGAGACCCTAGAGCTGGGGAACTGGTGGTGTCAGTGCTGGTTCTGGAGGCACTGTGCGGCCACGACCGTACTTCGTTCCACTGCTTCAGCAGGTTCTTGGTCTCCCGCCTTCTACTGGCCTTACTCCTCCCCTACTGTGTCCACCGCCTGACCAGTCGCAGTCGCAGTTACAGCGAGCCTCCCCACTGCCTGCTCCTTCTCCTTACACTGGGCCGACAGGAGGTCTTGCGGAGCGTCGTGAGCCTGAGTCTCGTCCTGCGTCGCCTGTTCGCGTTGTTCGCACTGGTCGTCGTGTTCCACGTCCGCGTCCTCCTCCTGTCCCAGGCACGCACCAGATGGCACTTCGGCCTCCTTTCAGCTTTTCCTCACTTTGTGCCCGTTGGCACAACATGTATGTTTGCCAAGACCCGTGTTTTCCCACTTTTCAGGTACCCCCAAAGCTCACCCTCTTTTGAAAATTCACATGGCACATTGTCATTGGATTGGCAGGGACTTGGGTGGCAACTCTCTTAGTGGCAGCATTCCAGACTTCCTGAGCGTGCTCTTGCAGCTGCAGAGGCTGTGAGTGGGTTGCGTTTCTGCTGATTGAATTTGACTGTTCTACGCATGTGAACAATCGGGACTTGCATTTTGTTTTAAGCGAATTTTTCTCAGTATCCTTTAGTGTGTCAACAACTCATGTTCCCCGTCAGTCTGTTTTTTCATAATCTGCTCATTCGCCCACTCACCAGCACCGCTGTGCAACTCCTCTTTGCTATCTGTTGCGGACCCATTCCCCTTTCGTCCTAATGACTTTCCCCAACTCGCCCTGCCATTCACAGCAATCTCAGCACCAACTCGCTCTCTGGCACCGTCTCTGCATCCTTGGGAGCTCTGGCAGCGCTAACCTGCCTGTAAGTGTCGCAAGCTAATTTAATTGGTGGCGAGCCACCTCTCACGCTACAGCTGCGTTTGCTTCTTCAGCTCTTACCTTTGCAGCATCTAGTCAGAATCCTCTTGAAATCTCCCATCCTGCCCATTTCTTTCCTCATTGCCCTGTCACCATGCCTCTTTTCCTTATCCTTTTCTTGCCACAGTGACATCAGCAGTAACCAGCTGTCTGGATCCATCCCACATGCCGTCAGCAGTCTCACCATGCTTATGCACATGTGAGTGATGCACACGTGATTGATGCACGTGTGAGTGATGCACATGTGATTGATGCACATGTGAGTGATGCACGTGTGAGAGATGGGTCGTTAGGACGAAAGGAGAAATGGTGCTCAACCCCATTTGTCTCCACCCAAAATGGTTTCCTTTTTGTTTTTGTTTTCCATTTTTTTTTCTTTTTATTTTTGGTTTTTTTTTTTATTTTCTTTTTTATTATGTATACCTTGACTTGAGACTCTCGAATTCAACGATTTCTTCACGTTTTCTGACTTGTAACAGCACGAGAAGAGATCATAAAATTCTGTAGAGAACTCATAACTTCTGCAATTGGTCCCTATGTCCTATCCACTGTCGTTTCCCATATCCTTTCTAATGCTTAAATGCAATCCCCTCGCAGGGACATGAGTCGCAATGGCATTTCAGACTCCATTCCCACGAGCATCGGTCGGCTCACATCCCTCACCTCCCTGTACGCCCATATGGAGTCCTCACTGCCCTCCTCTAGCAGCACATGTCTCTTAGCATCTCTTTCAGACCCATCCTGCACTGCCCGTATGGACCTTCCTTTCACACCTTCCCTGCACTGTCCAAGTGGGCCTTCGTTTCAGTTCAGACCCGCTTTTTTCATCCACTGAAACGTCTCATCCCCATTCCCATGCCTCCGTTCACGTTTCATTCATGTATTTGACCTAACTATGCAGCGCCATGCATCTCCCATACTCCGTGTGTGGCTCTTGTATCCTAAAAGGTTCACGATTCTGGGAAACCTCCCGTTCCTGCTGATTTGTGATTTTATGTTTGCAACAACCATGAATCATGGTGTCATACCACCTTATCCTTTCATTCAACCTCGTGCCACATGTGCAGGAATCTGAGCCGGTCAAACCTTGCAGGCCCCATCCTCGAATCGTTCACTTCACTCTCCAACCTGATTTTCCTGTACGCAAGCAAGTAGTGAACTTCTGAGGACGCGCTCCAACTTGGTGCTCCTCTAAGCAATCAAGCAGTGCAGTGTCATAACCACATGTCAAACAAACGAGTTGTTTCACTGTTAGAAGTGAAACCATTGACATCTGGAGCCCACAGGTACTTGGGCACTCGTGTGTGTGTAAGCCTATGAGAATCTTAAGAACAGAGAAAGTTCTTCTGCGGTCAAGTGATATTGCAGAGCACTTTGGACGCTCTTCGAGAGGTCAATGTGCCGAAATGTGATATCCTGATTTCTCATCCTGATTCTCACATTACTGCACGTACTGATGTGATTCCCACATCGTGTGCACATGTTGGTGATCTGATCTGAGGTATCCATATACACCAAACCGGGGTGACTGGGTTGTGCCATCATGCGGAGGGGCGTCAATCACCATATAACAGCACCCATGTTCTCCATTTGTACCATCCCCCCCTCCCACCCACTGCTCCTCTCTGATACGCACTGCAGGGATCTTAGCTACACCGGGCTGGCTGGGTCAGTGCCGTGGGGCATCAACAGCCTGGGGCAGCTGCACGCACTGTAAGGCACCCCTTTGATTGTCTACATGCATACCGAAGTACTAACTTTTATGGCATGAAAATTCTCAAAAGGTGAGATATAATCATACGAGTAACTGGTTGATGGACGAGGAAATGCACAGAATCAAGGAACCGCGGTTTGTGATATGAATAGTTGCCCTTTTCTTTGGTCTCTCTCGGTTCTTCCCCTTTCCGACTTGGTCACTCTATACTTATAAGTGTATAACAACACCTTACAACTGCACAACCCTTCTCACCTCACCCTCACAATCACACTCCCCCCCCACCCCTCCACCATTCCCACCAGGTACGGCACCCCCAGCATCTTCTGCAATGACAATGCCACATGCGCTGCCGCCCTTCTGCCGCCCACCAGCCCCTTGCCCCCTCCCACGCAACCGGCCAATCCCACATCGCCAGCTGTCACCGAATCCACCTCCATTGGATCTGCCAACTTGTCTGCGCCAAACACCACCTGCCATGTTTGCCAGAGCTACTGCCTCGGCTGCTCCTCCTCTGCCTCTGGTGCGTCTCCTGAAGCTTCTGCCCCCTCTGTCCCTCCTTCACTGCGTCTCCCACCCTCTCCTTCAACTTCCTTCCATCCCGAGCCCACTCTTTCCCAATCCTTCGTCTCTCTTGCAATATTTTCCTCTACTTTCTCTTCCGTCATCGCCATAGCTTATCTGGTATGGATTCTTTCTGTACAACCTTCTCAAAGCCCTTCTGTCTCATTTTCCTCCCACTGCTATAGTTTCCACATCCTCTCTCACCCCTCTTGCATTCTCTCACCCTTCTTGCCTTCCCTAATCCCTCTGGCCTTCTCCCTCCTCTCTTGCCTTTTCTCATCCCAATTCCCTTCTCCCTCCCCTCTTGATTTCTCTCTCCTATCATCCACATCCACCAGTTTTATCTCCCCAGAAGCCATAGTGGTGGCGGCACTCATTGCACTCGTCGCCCTTGCCCTCCTCGTCTTTCTCTCTGTCGTTTTGTTCCTTGCACAGCTCCTCCCCCTGCTTCCAACAGTGCTCTCTCTCTAGGAGCCATAGCAGCCATAGTGGTGGCAGCACTCGTTGCTCTCATTTCTCTCATCGTCCTCATCATCCTCATTTGGTTCTACTTCCGCCGTTCAAAGCCTGGTAGGTGGATGTTTAGTGTTTTGTGGTTTGAAATTTGGACGATGGTGAGTTGTCTCAATGCCATGAGCTCGTCGCCTTGTCATTCTCCTCAGCCTCCATATCGGCCGATCTCTCCGCATCATGCAAGATTGCGGAGATCTAGCAAGCCACCAATGGTTCTCCAGAAATTAGCATGGCTGCCTGCCTCTGTCACAGGATCAAAATCTCGCTCGAAGTTTTTGCACAACAGGCGAGTACAATGCGTGTTTTTACTTCCATAATACAAGCAACAGAGCGATGGCGGGATTACGCCACGTACACCACCGTCGGTAGACATGCGCAAAATCTCAAACCCTGATCGGTTCGACTCGAACAGCTGATTTGTTTTTGCTAAGAATGTTCGGATCGAACCTGTTACAGTTCGACCCGAACATGTTCAAGTGTTCGAGGTGACTTATAGGGAACACTCAAATTCAAAACATGTTCGAGCGGCAAATGTCTTCGACGCCTTGCCCACGGTTCAGATGTAAAAAACGAGAAGCATAAAGAGTTTCTTAGGGTTAGATACTAGGAGAAATTGAAATATGCCAATGTTTTGGGCTATGGTGAATGGTGAATGGAGCCCCAAGACTCGAGCCTGTCCGACTGTTCGAGTTCGGTTCGATAAAGGCACACGTTCGAATGCGTTCGCGTAAAACATGTTCGAGTTCAACTGTTGCTCATGTCTAACTGTCGAAGCTGTCGGTGCCGTATAATATAGATGCCAATGTCATAAATACAGTAAGAGAAACAGAAAGAATGCTCTAGAAAATATATTGTAGTCCGATTGAGGTGAAATACAGACCAAGTGAAAGAAGAAAATAAAGAGAAAAAGGTAAAAGAAAAAAATGAAAATTAGAAATTTGTCTAATAGCTGTGTACTCCCACAGCATCTCCCCAGCGTGCAAGTAAATTCACCACTTCTATCTACCACACCACTACCTCCTTCTACCCACTTCCCATTCTCCCCCCCCCCCCCGGCATGCAAGAAGTACTCACTGCTTGTACCACTGCCTCTATCTACCCATACGCCCCTTTTTCCCTTCCCCCAGCGTGCAAGCAGTACTCACTGGCGGAGATCCAGCAGGCCACCAACTTGTTTTCGGAGGTCAATCTGATCGGTTCGGGGGGCTTCAGCGACGTGTACAAGGGCGTGGATCCACATGACCCCGAGGTGGTGTGGGCTGTCAAGCGCGCCACCATGTTGTCCAACGACTTCATGAAAGACGTGCGCATACCTGAAATTCGAGGAGGACGGCGTAAATTCGAGCCGTCAAGACCTGAATGACTACTTGAAACTACCTCCACTCCGAAGTCACGACCAGCTCTGACTCCTTATAAAACTGGAAATCAGAGAGTGTTTAGCCTTAGGTGACTGTTTTCCAATGGTATCTTGTTTGCCTCAATCGGAGGTGTGAGCACAACATAGATAAAAAAACGTTTGCACGGCTAGAGAGTAGGTGGCTTCAGTTATGCTTGGGAAGAGGTGAGCACTGCATACAGAACTTATAAGAAGTGAGGGTCATCCTTGAAACGTGGAGAATAGTGAGTTTGAAAATGTTAGAGAAGGATTGGAAACGTCCTAGCTAGTTCAGCAAAGCCGACCACTCTTGAAGTTCAAGTCATGGACTCATGCTGGCAATAGCTTGTTCAATCCATACATGAGTTAACGTGCTTTCCTTGCTTGTAGCCTCTGCGAAACTGCGTTTCGAAAGCCCATGATACCCCTCAATGAGAGTGTTAGGCTTGTACAGGGGAGATTTGGAAGGTGTTGAGATGAGGTAACAAAATGGAATGAAAGGTGGGCGCAGTCAATTGAATCTTCGATCTACCTACCACCTCGTTTTATTTCATACTCTGGAATCTCCCTTTCTTCAGTTTCTTTATTTCTTTCCCAGGTGAAGCCATGGTGCGGCTACAGTATGCTGAATCGACTACAACTCTTGCTTCCACGCAAGTCTCCTCCTTTGTACTTTGACTTCATGATCGCCCTCCTGCTTTGCCTCCTTTCATCACCTCCCTCGTCTCGCAGGTAGCAGCAATGGCACGGCTGCAGGACCCGAGGCTGGTGCCACTGCTGGGGTACTGCATCGACTACAACGAGGCAACCCTGCAGATGGAGCAGATAATCGTGTCCCAGTTCATGCCCAACGGGGACCTCTCACAGTGGACCATGCCAGGTGCGGTTAGGCCATCAGGGCTTCAAATCAGATCACCTTATGGTGTTTTAAGCAAACAGGTAGAGCAGTTTACTATGTTTTGGTTCATTCCCACGAGGGACCTCTTGCACTGGATCACGCCTGGTGAGGCTACGACCAAGTCAAGCAAAGCAAGGGCCAAGCTGTCTGTCACACGATTGAATTCTCACTTGAAGTTGTTGTTTGCTATTTTTCGATACAAGGCGATTACATACTTATAATCTACAAAAATGGAGAAGGGATTGGAAAACATACAAAGCTGTACCTTTCCAAAACCGACAGTTGAATCTATCCTTACTTCACAACCTTATTGGCTTTGAATATTTCACGACAGGTTTCTTAATACAGTGTGCCAATACACCTCGCGCAATTGTTGTTGATATTTCTAAGTCACACAATATAAAGCTAAGCACACGAACCCAGAACAGAGATTCAAGCGAGGTGGTAAATAGGAACAACATAAACGTTATACGGCGATGTAATATCACACAAGCTAGGTGAGTGAAGGAGGGCGTGAAGGTAGTCGAGGGCTGAAGAGGGGGAGGGAAATAGGGGGGATGGAGCAAGCGAGTGCAAGGAGGGGGGGGGAGGGAAGGAAGGGAACAAGCGAGGGAGAGACACTTTAGGAACAATTTTCAAGCCGTCTGGCTGCCTTCATATTCGCCTTCACATACTCTTGGGGCTTCTCTCCTCATTTCATTCTTCCATTCCCATTCCTCTGTAGTCGTGTTCCCCATTACCTTCATTCCGCAGCTTCCTGATGTTCTTCTCTCCCAGAAGCTAACCCCCCCGAGACTTGTTCGCACGTGCGCTCTTCACTCCCCATGTCCGGACTGTACCTCCCATGAGCCAAGCCCATCTCGCCCCACAAAACCTTACTTTCTCTCCGCATGCCCTCTTCATTCCCCCACGCCCCCACTTCCCAGGGGCGAAGCCCATGTCGCTGCGTGTGAGGCTGGCAGTGCTGGTGGACGTGGCGGATGGGCTGAGCTTCCTCCACAGCCGTCGGATCGTGCACCGCGATGTGAAGCCAGCCAACGTGTTACTGGATGCAGACATGCGGGTGAGACTGGTGAAAGACCCCGAGCTTGATTGCGTGATATTTTTCATGAAGCTCGAGCCAGTTCAGGTACTTCAGAAATTAGTTGGGTTGGGAGTGGATGGAAAGTAATGGTGGGAAGCGATGGTGCAAACATCTCTAGTTGTTGGATGGGAATATGATAATGCTCTAAATATCATGGAACAGATAATTATTGGTCAAGGTAGCCAAAACCATGTGATGAAAAAATGAGCCACCGGCCAGCTTCGTTAAGAGGGTGAGACCGCGAAAGCCTGCACCAAGCCTGCAGACAAATATATTGGTGTTTTTATGAGAACGATATTCGACCCAACCCAATACACCTGGTCCGCGGTATCTTCACCGCGCGAAAACGGGTGGCAGAATTTTGGATGATCTGACAGTGGTGAAGATAAGGGCTCAAAATTTGGGTCCTTATTGTCACCACCAAATATCTGACCAGCATGGAAAGTTCTGACAGTGCCCCGCAAAAGGAACACTTTGCTCTTTATCGCCATCGGTTTTGTTCGAGTGTCAGGAAAGTAAAGGCATCGACGATGGCGATTTGCCGAGAAAATCCTTATGGAGAAGCCGCGATATGCGTCTCGCCTGTGCGCACGCCCCCTTCATGGCGCCAACTGGAATGTCAAAAAAAGGCTCGGCGATTTCTCCCACTTGGTTGGGTCAAGTGTGAACAGCGATTTCTGGCCGCCCAACAGAAAACGCTCTGCATGCCGACAAACGTGGTGAAGATACTGGTGGTGAAATTACCGCGGACCAGGTTTACGCGAATATGAAACGGCTTTGATTTGGCATGCTATTTGCACGGATTTGGTCGTAAAAATTTCATGAAGTCAAGTCGTCCACCGAATATTCGGGTATTTTAGGGGCCTAAACTCAAATTGCGAAAAGTGGATTGTTGGGTCTATATGGAGTCAGGGATGTGCTTCTACGTGACATATAAAACCAGACATTTGAATCTCAAATGCTTAAATTTTAACAGCAGTTGGAGATCTTAACTGGAGATTTGGATAATCACGTGCGGGTCAGGTTGAGATTTTGAATGTAACAGCGAACCCAAAAACTTACTGTACACTGAGCTACAATCTCAAAAGTACAAAACAGACGTGAGATTCTACACCATCTTTAAGACCCCTTTATAGACAATAAATCGTTACCCTGTGCAAGTGGTGGAACCCAAAGCCCCATGGAGTGGAGTAGGCGGTGATGATAAACACATCCAAACCCTAGTGAAGAGATCAGCGGGGTTGTGAGTCAGATTCTTGGTACCTGATAAGGTTGGTGCTGACTGAGGTTGGCCAAGAGCCTTTGGCTTCTTTGGCAGCCAAAGTTTGGCTTGTACTTTTGACACTCTCAACGCGATCTCGAAGGATTAGCTTAAATAACGACGTGTCAAACAGTCGACTTTTGGTTCTCTGCTACCCTTCTTCTTCCTTCTGGTCTCCCTTCTCTAGCTCCCTGTCACACCCACTAGAAATGTCGGGAACCACACTGTCCTAACGGCAGGGCATCAAGCCCTAAGCTCGGCTGGGTCACTCGTTGCTTGGGTTGGCTTCTCTCTCTACCTGGAAGCTAGGGATGTAGCTTGCATAAAACAGTATAGTGTGAGAAAACAAACAAGCAAACTAGAGGGCACATCTGACCGTCATACATAAGTATTGGTTGCTACACTCCAACCGTTGCCTTTGCAGCATCTAACGGTCCTCCTCTTGTAGCAATCTGCTTCTTCCCGCTTCACTTTCCCTCACTCGTGTTAATCATTAATCCCGTCCTCTCTACTGTCAGGTCCTGTAGTATACTGTCTAAGCAAATATATATGCAACACTAGCTAACAAACTATTTCTTACTAACTCCTTATTAATTGCGTGACAGCCCTGTCCCCCAAGCACAAGCCCCATGCCTGATGTACTGCACAAGTACGCAGTACCCTTGTAACAGCCTTGTAGCGCTCGGGGCGGTGTCTCCCGGGCGCAATGTAGCACGCCAGGATGCTGAGAGGGTACGCGCGCTCAGGTCGAGTGCACGTCATCAGGTACATGAGGCAGCCCATAAGCTCTGGGTACGGACCACTCGGCTCTACGGACTCGTCCGAAGGTGGAGCTAATAGCGAGTGGCTCGTAGGCAGAGGAGTGGACTGTGGCGAGGAGAACTGAAAGTGGAAGTGCTAAAGGACCTGCTGCACCATGTGTGACTGAGTCAGAGTGATGGTGCGCGCTGCTCTATCCCGGGTGATCTGCAAGCCAAGATAGCTACGCAGCACACCCAGGTCAGTGCAGGTGTGTCTCCTCTGCAGCTCCGCCTTCACAAGGGCCAGTGCCTCGGTGTCAGCAGTAGCAAAGACCAAGTCGTCGACATACACGAGGATGTAGAATGGCGGCAGAGAAGGGTCGGTGCGCAGAAACAGCGACGGGTCAGCAGTCGAAGGAGCAAAACCAAGAGCCACAAGTGTCGTCCTCAGTGTGTCGTGGCACTCGCGGGGCGCCTGACAGAGACCGTAGACTGGCCGCCGGAGGCTCCACTGGGTACCCTCAGGAAACGACCCAGTGAAGCCAGGTGGAGCCAGATCTCCTCGTGAAGGCTTCGCTGCAAGAAAGATGTGGAGAAGTCGAGCGAGTGCAGCTCATAGTCACGCTGTGCTGCAACGTGCAATAACACCCGAAGAGTGGTCATCTTCAGGGTGGGGGAGAAGTTCTGGAAGAAGTCGACCCCCTGTTGCTGACTGAAGCCTCGTGCAACGTAACGCGCCTTGAAGGCAGGCGGAGAACCTGGCGGCCGCTTCATCCTGAAGATCCACATGCCATCGACTATGTTCGCCCTAGCAGGGGGAACTGCGCCGATGTAGGTGCATGGGAACTTCCAGGATGCCATCTCTGCGTCCATGGCTGTCTGCCACTGAGAGGAGTACTGACCCGTAATCGCCTCTGCGTAAGAGCGCGGGGTCGAGATGTCCAGTGCATCCGGGTCTCCCTCAGGGGCAAGCAGCATGGCAGCGAGATGAGGTACAGCAGCCGCAAGGCACTCCAGCTCAAACTCCCTGTCCTCAAGGACGTCACAGCCAAGGGCAGTATCACCCTCGACGGACGGAGGACAGTCAGACTCATAAACAAGACTCGCGAAGTAGTCAAGGCGACACGCAGCAGCAAAGTCAACGAGCTCAGTGACCAAGGCAGACGCAGCAGCAGACTCAAAAGTAGGGTCAGTGACAAGTGTGGCCAGACAACGAGTGACAGTCGGACTAGCAGCACGAGCAAGGTCAGACGGAGGGTCAGAAATGTCACGAAGAGAAGACGCAGGAGGCAAGGGCAGGACAACACGCTGTGGAGCAGAGGAAGGACGAAGTGCCATGGCGTGAGTGTCGGGGACAGGTGGAGGGCGAACACAGGGAGCAGGACGAGTACGAATAGGCGTGGCAGGACGAGACGCATGCTCTCTTCTGTCAGGGAGTCTATCGACTCTGTGTAAGGAGAAGGAGCAGGCAGTGGGGAGTCAGGCGGAAACAGTGTCTGAGACGGGTCAGTCGGTGGACACAGTAGAGGAGGAGTAGTACCAGTGGAAGACGGAAGACTGAGAATCTGGCGAAGCGCAGCGCCAGGTGGTGGCAGCAACGACTGCGGCCGGTGCCAGAAGAACGGTCGCCGCTGCAGTGGCTGCGTAGCACCCCCAGCACCAGAACCGCCAGAACCTCCAGCTCTAGTACCTCCAACTCCAGTACCTCCAGCTCCAGTACCTCCAGCTCCAGTACCTCCAGCTCCAGTACCTCCAGCTCAAGTACCTCGAGCTCCAGCACCACCAGCTTCAGCACTCCCAGCACCTCCAGCGGCAGTACCTCCAGCTCTAGGACCTGCAGCTCCAGTACCTCCAGTACCTCCAGCGGCAGTATCTCCAGCACCACTAACTCCAGTACCTCCAGCACCAGACTCAGGAAGTGGCAGCAACGACCGCTGCTGCTCCCAGTACAAGGGGCGCCGAGGCAAAGGCGGCAGCGTCCAGCCAGGAGGGGGGGGGAGGGGGAGGGGGGGGGGAGGGGGACCGGGAGGAGGAGTGGGAGTGAAGAAGAGGGGAGGGGGGGGGAACCAGGGTACCTCGGTGAGGATAGCGCGCATAGAAGGACATTGACTCATCAAAACTGAAGTTGAGAGTGAAAGAACAGGTGGGAGGAAGGGTGGTAAAACAAACAGTCGGGGGCGTCAACCGGGAAACCACGGAAGACACAAGGGAGGGTGCGAGCCGAGAGCTTGTCTGCGCGAGGATCCGAACATGTGCAAGGCAGCCCCAGACACAAAACGCAGACGCAGCACCAAGGGACCCAGTTCAGAGACGGGTCGGTGAATACTGTGGGCGCGAGACACGAGGCCACACGTTTAGCTGATTCACGGTGTAGCGCACATGCATAAACCATGGAGGTACGATTTTTCTCCATGACCAAGCCTATGCGGCGCTCAGCAACCCCATTCTATTGTGGCGAGTTCGGGAGCGTGAAGGACTCGGTTATGCCCTGCGCGCTACAGAACTGGCCAAGTCGGCCGGAGCGGAACTCGCCACCAGGGTCAGAGTGTAGTCAAAGCACATGTAGGCCGTGCTGGGTGCAAGTGGCCAGCAACCACGGGATCAGAGCATCATGCACGTCAGCCTTCCTCTCCATAGAAACACCGTGGTGTAGTGGGAGAAGTCGTCCACAACCAAGAGGAGTAGCGCTTCTGTCGTGGCCCAACGACTGGGGCAGGGCCCCAGACGTCCATGTGCAAAGTCTAAAGAGGCGCAGGGGCGGCCGCAAGGGAGGAGGAATGAGGGGCGGCGCGCTGCCAACCCTCGACGCAAGGCGTGCACGAAGGAGCAGACGAAGGCTGGAGCGGGGGGAGCGACAACGGGAGACCTGAGATAAGACAGTGCCTAGCCATGTGAAGGAGACGTGGGAGAGTGACACGGGATACCTAGACGGTGGTGCCACAGGAGGGGCGGGTGGGTGAGTGACCGACAAGAGCACGACTCCACCACCACTAGTACCTCTAGCAGGAGCACCCTCGACTCCACCACCACTAGTACGCTTAGCGCCCCCAGAACCAGCACCTCCAGAGTCAGGACCCCCAGAACCA